ATCATAACTTGCAAGATTATCCAAGGCAAATGCATTCCAGATGAAACTTTAGGCTTTCCTTTTAGGACACTGGATGTCCACCCGTAACAGACTGTTGATGTCACAAACCTTCAAAAGGTAAACAGGCACACTTACAATACATCCCAAGCAGTTAAGCAAAGCAACGCTTAGAACAGTGCTGTGTCTCCTCCCCATCTTCATGCTTCATGCCTTATTGCTTGTCAACTTTAGAGTCTAACACACTTCACAAAATGAGGTTTAGTCTCAATTTACTTTTACTGCCAAATATTTGTGTCATTGCTATGTACTACAGCTGTTCTATCTGTGCTCCCAGCTGAAGACCACTGTACTTCAGAGACTTCCTCAGATACTGGTTCTTCAAACAGGACCATGCAACGAGCCAGGTCTGTCAATGCGCTGTGTCAGGGATGGGAGCTGTTTTACAGTGCTACCCTAACCACTGAACCTCTCAGCCTCAGCACCAAGAACACCGTAGGAAACACTGCCCTGGGCCCTTCAGCACAGACAACAGCCTGCCTTAAGAAACAAGGCCACTCTGAACAACATCCAACTCACAGCTCTGCTACTGCCCAGACCAGACTTTCAGTGCTAATCCAGACACTCAGCAGACATTAGTGACACGAGCTAGCCAAGTCTAGTAGTCCCTCAGCCTCAGAGCAGAGCACATAGCATGGGAACAGGATTGATTTGAGGATATTGGCGCCATGCAGAGCCTCAGCTCTTCCTTCCCATCTGTCGTCTTCATCTCCTGTTTTTGTGACTTCCTAGGACACAACAGTGACACAAGCACAGAGTCACCTTAAGACTCTTCAGTGGTTAATACTGTTTTGCTTCTACCTGAACATCTGTATTTTGGGAGACACTTTACATGAAGTGTCCGTGAAAACATTAGGAAGAGGCTATACAAGACAGGGTCTCAGGAAAGGCCAGTCAGAGCAGCTTGGCCCTGAGGGTAAGAAGACATGCATCTTGCATGGCACATGTCACTCCATTTGCTTCAGCAGACACTCCGAGGTCCTCGCTCCTTCCCCAAAGAAAACGAGGGTCTGCTTTATCCAATGTAAACAAAACACTAAGAAGAAATACTGTATCTATCACCACAACCCAAGAACTTCATCATTTTCCTAACATTTAAATCAAATTGCAATGGTACCATGACTATGAAGTGCAGCTGCAGTTACTCTTTCTCCCTACCCACCATATTAAGCCACTGAGACCTTTCATTTAAAATTAACTAACACAGCCTGGATTTAATACATCAAGCCACTGGTTTTAGTCAATAACAACCCTAAATTTTAATATAGGTTACATAAAGCAACTTCAGTTCTCAAGAACAGACAGATTATGCATCACGAACTTTCCAGGTTCCAGGTGTTTAGTATTCTAATTCAGATTACTGGACAATACTGCTTTTTAAAACTTCAGAGGGCAGCAGAGCACCTGCATGCCTAAAGGATAAATAGCTCAATTATGAACACATCTGAATATCTCACCACTTATACTTGCAAGTAGCTTCATAAAGAAAAAGCACAGTATTTCCCCTTAATTTCAAAAGGATAAAAGCCTAGTTCACAGGTTAAAACCTAAAATATCTCCCTATACAACATCTACTATTATGTACAGCATAGTGTTGACACGCAAGAGACACACCAATATATAACATACAAAGTGAAATAATCAACTGCACAAAAATTAATGAGTATCTTTTCCTCTTCTGAACACAACAGTGCTTCCTGAAAAAGTATGCAGAGATTAGCATACAATGCACTTCATTTTCATTAATTACACATTAAATACTATTTATTTTAATATCCCTAAATTTTTATTCTTAAACCAATTTAAGCAGCAATATTAGCTTCTGCTTCGTAAGTGGTACTTAAAAGTTTATTTTAAATAATAGACAGTTTCTTTCTATTTCACTAGATTTTTTTTTTATTAGACAACACGGTAAAGTATTTGCTGTTAAAATCATACCAGAACAAACAGTTTGCCCTTGCACTGACTGTCATAAAAGCTAGCCAGGATTCCATCTGGTTACTATAAGATGGGTGAAAATACCTTGATGGAGATACTTTGCTGGAGTTATTTTGAAAGATTTTATATATTTGATACTTTGACAGGTGATTTAAATGTGCTCTACATGTGAATTACTAATTGTAACCTAAGTTTTATACTACCTTTTCCATTTACAGGGGAGCCACATGTGTAGAAACAAATAAATAGTCTTCAATGAAGCTGCTATAGCTGCTATCTACCAACAACATCAGCTCTCATAATGTGAACAAGAACAGGACCAAAAAACTTTCAAACCTGTCTTTTGATGGTTCTGAACAATAGCTGCTAACTTAGTCCTCATGATCTCATTATCAGGTTCAAGGGGACCACTGGAGGTCCTTTCTTCCTTCCCAACCTCCTCTAAAAATAGGATCAAATATACACAAATGACTTTTGAGTAGTGCTTGTCTGCTCTGTTCTTAAAAACTTTAAATTATTTCATAACCCCAAAAATTTATGGGGGGCATTTAAATATCTTTGCCCTCATATTTCTCCACTGCTGTACATGTCTATTGCTTCATTTCTGACTTAGCATAAAGTAAAAATTGTATTGGCTTCAGTTCTACTTCCTTCCAGTTTCCCATTGTTGCCACCATTTTTTGGAGACAAAAGCGATTCATCCAACTTTCTGCACAGAATGGAGTGCATTTTGTCATCCAGTGTCATTCTTTCCCCACCACCCATACTGTGTGGGTCACATACAACTGTTCTATTGCTCCACAGTTTACGTCAGCCACTTAAATACCAAAAGGATGCCAAACTGCAAGCTTTATCATGAGGCCAAGACATGCAGAACTGAAGTTCCCATGCTATCTCAATGGTGCTTCTCATAAGACTACTTCAAGCTCTTCTGCATTATGGTCACATAATTCCTTTCTACCTATTAAGAAGCTTTAGAAAATTTTGGGTTTTTTCTAAATAAACAGGTGGAAAAGCAGTTTAGCAGTTGTCAAAATTACGTCACAATTTTAACAGTGCTTTTACACTGAATGAAACTCTGCTCTGGATACAGAACTTCTAACTCAAATCTCCAAGGCACCAATGTTTTCCTGATTTCACACTGCTGGTTGAAGCAACAGCACAATAAAAGTGATAAAACTTTACACAGTGCCTCTCTTAATACTCCTCATGCTGTAACTTCTCAGGACAGTTCCAGGCAACAGCAAGGAGTTATTTTAAAACTGCACTTCGGGAGAAAAAAAAGTGGCTCAAAGAAAGAGCTTAAGGTTAAACAAGAAATAAATAACAGAGTTGTATTCACTAAGTCAGCAGTATGACGTCCGGTGAAGGTATCGTCACAGTTTCTCCTCTTACTTACTACCCTGAAAGCATGAAACTGAAATTCACTTCATTACCAAGCAGGTACACAAGCCAGGTTATTTAACGCAAATGGCTAAATAGCAAATTGTAGTAGTAATCAATAGCTTCTTTTTTATAATGTGCTGCACCTCCAGAGAAAAATCCCACCAGTCCAAAAAAACTCCAGGTGTATAAAAAGGGGAAGCAGCATATATTACTTGGTTTCACACAAATATTAGATAAAAATTTGTTAAAATAGAACATGAAACTGTAGTAGATGCATTTCTGATAAAACTCAAGAAAATCAGTGCATTTTAGCCTGTGCAGGTTTTGTTTTTTTTTTTTTAACAGTCCAAAACAGAGAACAGGAAAAAAGTATTAGAATAAGTGGTTAATGTTCACAAAAAGCTAACAACAATCAGTATTCTTTTTAATCTAAAGCAGACAAATATTTTTATTTTGTAAAGGACTGGTAAGTGGGTCTGCAAGAGAACAATGAATGTTTCAAGGCTAAGGAACTGCAAATCTATTAATCCAGTTATAAGTAAAGAGGGCACACAGGCTATCTGCTTAGCCAAGCAGGAGACAATAACACTGGCTGTCAAGACTTCCCTATTAAATAATAACAAAAAGCCCCTAGTAAGAGACAAGTGAAAATCAATTAACTGGGGAAATGGCAAAAGAACTCAAATATGGCTGTCAAACACTTCTCTATTCAGACATACAAAATCAAGTTCTCTTCAAGTCTAAAAAGCAGAAATGTCATGTTAATCAAATAAAAACTACAATATTCTTCTAAATCAGGTTAACTATGCAAGGTATCAAGTACCTGCAGCTCCTGCTGAAACAAAAAGGTACTGGAACAAGTTGGCTCTTTGCAGAGTAAAACCCTTTGTCAAACAGCCAGTGTAAAGAAAAATCTACGTTAACCATTTCCAGAACACGAACATTATACTGTTATTTTAAACTTTTTATCTGGCCCAGGGACGGACATTCTGCAGGCCTCCTTGCTGGCTGCATGTCTTTGTTCTCATGGCTGCATTGACACAACACAATGCCTCACAGAACAGACTGCACAGGTACAGCCCCAGTGAAGTACTATGGGCAAAAACTGGGCCTTAAAAATATGCTGAACACTTCTGCAAGAAAGCACTTTCCTTACTGGAGGAGTCCTTGTGAGTGCCCTGCTCCCCACTTCCCTTTTCTGCCCTCAGCACCTTTTCCAGCTTCTTGCAAGCAGCCACAATCCTGGAAATGACACTGTATAACAGAAGAAATCACCAAATGAAACACCTCTGATGTGTGTTTTTCTCCATAAATGGACTAATTCAGAACTTAATGAAACCGAAGGTACCATTTGGAAACACCCCAAAGACTACACAGATAGGCCAAGAGACACTTTTCTGTTTTAGAGTTCTGACAGGTAACACATTTACTCATGTCTTTACAGCAAAGTAATTTTCCCCTGTCCCTTCATCTGAGCAGGAAAATTCCACTAATATTCTACTGTGGTAGAGAAAAAACAAGTGAACTTCTTGCAAAGCCTGCAATTTGGATATGTTTGCAAAGACTGGCAGAAAGAACTGTTGTTTTAGGACATGTCTGTGTCAGTAGCAGCGTCTTACCTCTCAGCACTGACTTGAGGTTCAGCTTGGCTTGTCTGTGCAGGTCCTCCACACAAGCTGGTCTTGAGGAGGGCAGGAAGACATTTTCCTGCTGGTGCCATGGAGCAGTGTAGTGCACAGTCCATCTACTCTCTTCATCTAGGTTGGAAACAGCTGCAGAGAGACACAATAATAAGAAAACTAGATGTTATTGCAGTTAGCTCTATCACAAAGTCCCACATGTAATTTGCCACACGTAATCTAAAAACGAAAGAAGCCTTGTTCGCCACCGTAGACCCATCAAAATACTCCTTAGAACCTCACTTCGTGACAATTAAAAAACCCTTCCTTACATTTCTATGCTAAAATTAGTCCTGTAGGAAACACTGTTTACTCTTCCCATTTTTATACTTGCTGTTTTATTTACTCTAAACTTGAAACTCTTGTTTTCCCCCTCTCTAACTCCAACTCTTCGAAAAGGAATCAGTTTTCCATTCCTTGATCATGGCAGGTGCTGTGCAGCGCAGAATAGCTTGGCTCAAAGGTGCCCCTGGGAATATGACAGCCCTCGTGAGAGATGACAACAGGTTCATTTGTATTGGGAAACAACCTTGTCTGACCTCCTGCTTCCTCACACAAGATTCCAGTGAAGCAAATAAATTAGCTATGCTCCTTTGTCATGAGTGGAAAGCAGATATAAACAAAAGCAACTCCATGGACAAATACTGCTCAGAGCACAACAACACTGAAGAGGGCTATCTCTGGCCACCTCTTTGCACTCAATACAAATGTAAAAATAAAACACGGATCTTGTTCAAGTTCAGTCTAGCAATGAAACAGCCAAAGCACATACTGCTAGGATTTGTTTATCATTTATGCATCCCAAGAGACAGCCACTGCATTTTGTTTCAAGTTTATCATCAATAAAAACTTATACAGTTGAATAGCCTTATCCCTCTACCCTGCTGTAAACACAAAAAGGGCAGTTGGGGGTCATATTTTATGATTCCCCAGGCACCCTTTGTCCTTCAGCCAGCATGCTGCACATCCTTGCTTTTTAGCTCTCCAAAGCAGAAAAAGACACTACAGATGTGCCGCCTTCCAAGCACCTGCCCTGCTGCCACAGCTCCACTGCTCCCAGCCTCGCTGTCAGCTCTGCATCTTCCCTTTGCCACCTCTGCTGCTGCACTGCCTGTGGCATCACTTTGTGGTTTGTCTGATGCCCTTGCAGTAGCAGAGGTGGTATGTTAAAGCTGAGAAGCAAAAAGAATGCAACAGCCTCCTGTCATCTGAAAAATTACCCTTTCCTTAACACTATTGTGCATCTGCTGGGACCATTTCAGATGGAAACAATTAGCATTCTTAAGGAAAATAAGCTATGTCTCTAACTTCAAAACATAGCTACAGCCTAATGCTCAATGCCTGTTCTTTCCTAAACTGACTTGAGGTAGAGGGGGACGTTCCTAACTGCTTTCTCTCACGTATTTTAGATTAGTTTCAGACCTCAAATGATCTGAAAATGGGTGCCCTCATGTCTGTGTCTTGGTCCTGCATCCCACTCCCTCTTCTCCTAAGACATTCTGGTTGCAACAAGGCAGACACACATTCAGCCTGTGCCCATTCTTCCCATTCTTCCTATCAGTAACCTCAATCACAAAAACCGGAGAAGTCATCACCTACCTGGTTACAGCATCAATCACCCCCATCTAACAGAAAGTGACACTCAAAGTCAGTGAAAGACACCCACACCACTGGCTGAACCGGTGGATGGGAAATTGGGTAAGGCTGGAGGAGGAAGAGGAGGAGGTAAACACCTGCCGCCAAGCCCACTGTCTGGCTGCAGCCCTGCCACAGCAAAATTAAGGTTTACTGCTCGTCAGATCAATAATGGTCATCAAAACTAGTCAAGAGAAGTGGTGTGCACATCTGCCAACTACTCTTTCTAGTGTGATTTGTCTATATTTTATGACTTAAAGGAAGCTCAATGTGATTTTAAAAGCCGCTCTGAAACCAGAACATCTTTAAAAACAAATCTTGGTCAGAACAAACTTTACGTAGACACCTCAGCGATACAAGCCCGTAGCCGCATAAGCAGAGACAGATGTCTGACAAACCACCAGGACACCACGACACACCGGCACACCCTGCCTTGTCACCGAGTCGCCCATTTCACACCGAGAACTTTGGCCCCTTTAAAATCACCGTGACAAAGCACTCCTAAAGCGACTGTGTCCCAAAGAAGAGGTCCTAAAGACCCTCACAAGGCTGTCTCCACACACTACACAACGAGAAACTATTAAAAGAGTAAGAAAAACTTAAAAAGAGACTGCAGGAACCACAACTGAAGCTGAAGGGACCTTCACTTTCCTTCAGAACTGGGCTGCCTCCTGAAAGCACAGTGAGCACACAGAACTATACTTACTCTTTCTCTTGAAAAGTTTCATGAGAGATTTAAGCTTTTTGTTGATGAAAACCACCATTTTCAAGGTGCTGAACTGCGATCCTGGAGCTGAAATCCCATAGAAAGGAGGAGATGCAGAAAGGTGACTGCCACACTGAACCTGCTCAAACTCTGCACACCAAATTTCTCTTCTCCACGTTTCTCCCCTCTGCCTTTTTTTTTCTGAAATCACTTTAAATTGTGTAGAACTTTCTGACAGACGAAATAATTTACAATTCTTTAGCTTGAGTTTCTCCTCCTCGCATGTAACCCTGTGGGCTGAAAACAGCCACTTCCAACAAGCAAAACAGGAGAAAAAAGCACCCCGGCTGTTATTCTCCTTTGCGCAGGACGAAAAAGATCTTCTCCCTGTCCACAGCAATTACTCCGCTCTTGTTCCTCTCCTTTCCTCCGCTCTCCAAGTTTGGCTGCTCCAGAAAGTCCCGAGTTGGCAGGTGCCCGCTCTCCTTCCCATGTCTCCAGCCGCTGTGCCGGCGGAGCAGCAGGAGATCCCGGCACCTTCCCTGCCCCCGCCCCCTCCCAACGCACCTCCCCAGCAGCCCCGGCCTCCTTCCAGTTGCAAATGAGTGTTGCATTTTCGTGCTAATCAGGATGCTCTGCTTTCCCACCGCTCCCATCCTGCCCCCACCACACCTTTTTTTTTTTTTTTTATTTTCGCCCTCTTCCTCCCACTTTATTAAGGATCCAGAGCTGCGCCTTAGCTGGCTACACCACGCAGTCTCGGCTCTGCATGGCCTCCCCTTCCAGTCCCACTGCTCCCCCCGTAGTCACTGCCACTGCCCGAGACATTCAGCACACTAATTTCACATATTGAATTTTATTCAGTTGCACTCCTAATTTATTCTTATTAGCGTCATCTCAGACCAGATACATGGAAAACAAAATCGAGTTATTTCTGGCTAACAGAGATTCTGTTATTCATCAAACGAAACTTGTGCACGGAGATGAAACAGCCCAGCTTTTTGAGATGCGCATTTTATCCTCACGTCTTAAAAAAAATGCATCTGTACAGAGGTCCACAGCCATCCTTCCTAGGAATGAACTGCAACTTTGCAGAAGTTAAAGAGAAATTTCTAAGCACCAAATGAATGTGCTCAGCAGGGCATGCCCTCCGCATAATGTTCAGGCTCAAGAAGCAAGCCCTCCTCACAAAGCAAGCTTAGGAAACCCCCTCGAGTTAACAATGAAAAGGATTTTTTTTATTCAGGAAAAAGAAAAATGCCAGCAGCAGGGGGCTCAGGCTGACCCAAAGCTGCAGCAGACTCTAGCCTCTGGAGCTCAGCATGTAAAAAGCAGATGCTCCACAGGAACTTCTAGGTTTCATTAAACAGTTGAGACCCAGCACTGTGAAGAACAGACTGTAAATGAAATCTGTTCATCATTCTCAGAACACAGTATCATCAACATTTTATCAGTATTTTCCAAATCCAGAGATTTTGCAATTGCAACATGGGCTTGACATCAAAAGTACCATGAGCAGCAGGTCTCTCCAGCAGCTGCTAGTCCAAGAGGCATTTTGACTGGCTCAGCTCTGCCAAAGGGACGGAAGACCCTTGTGTCATGGCAATGGCAATGAAGGCACCTCTGCTTGTTGCATTGATTTCCATCTCGTACCTTACACAAAAAATTACTCTGGCATGAAACTCTAATAAGAAGGTAACTATTTAGTGCTGCTTTAGAATTAAATATACAGTAATACCCCTGCCAGACATTTACCATCCACAAACCACAAAATGTGTGCTTGCTGGACACACACTGAAAGTGAGTTTAGAGTGATTCTATTTCTAACTCCAGCTACACTGCCATCTGAAAGCAAACCAAGGAGATGGTGACTCCTTGTCTAGTGTGGTGTCGATCTTTTTCAGGATGTAGAAGCGCCTCTACCTACACGTGCCTATTCCTTAGCATGTAGGAAGGGGAACACAGGGAAAGGAGAGAGTTTCAAGCTATAAAATGATGGAGTCTGGGCTGCTGGAAGTGAGACAGTCTGTTCCAAAGGTGTTTATGGAACTTCAAAAGAGCCTTGCAAGCCCTAGGAAGCAAGACCTGTTACCTTTTCATGGTCAAGCCACTGTGAATAAACATGATTCCGGGTACTTTGGGCAGCTTGGAATCCTTTTCATTTCACCCGGGGCTACAATGTGTGCCAAGTGTAGTGTGCTTTTTGTTATTGGATCTTCAACCCACCCTAGAGCATTTCTCCTGCCTGCGAACAAGCACCTGACCACTGTCCTCTACCCCGATCTCAGCACGGATGCAGACATTCAAATCCAGCAACAAACAATACCTTAATTGATGTGTGCCTTTCATCCCACTCCCCACCCCGACCCTGCTTCCACATACCCTCAGGTCATGATGTTAAAGAGGTCAGACATCAAAAATGGCTATCATGAGGGACTACCCCAAAGGGGTCTGGCTACTCCTATCTGCACCTCTGAGAGTCTGAGCTAGTCCAACAACAACAACAAAAAAACTCTTCTCCACCTGAGACAAACCCACTGACTTCCATAAAATTCATCATGTTATCTCAACCAATCTTTGTGTAAATGCTTTTCCTGTCTCAAGAAACTGTCATCTAACAGCAATTCTCTGAGAACTTCAAGCATGAAATGCCTGCGCTCCTCTGCACTTAGCCACCTTACATCGAGAAGAGAAGGAAAAGATGGGGCAGTTTGAGAAAATTTATATTGTAGCCACTATGCAAACAAAGGAC